ATATAATATTTTGATATACATCATGAATTTCCTCACTGCAAAATCATTTTTGTTTCAACACCAGACATGACCCACTTCGTATCTTTTGAATTACATCAAGGTTATTTTCTTCATTTAGTACTAAAGATAGTCCGTACCATGGTGCTATGCTCTAGAAAATTACTTTAAAAAATATATTTCTAAAGCAATTGTAATGTCGACACGCACGTTATTGTTTGGTTCTTTAAAGCTGTGTAACTATTTTGTACATGATTTGAATGACGACGTGTAAATACATCATCAATACATTTTAGTTTCACATCGCTGAAAATAGTGCAGATGATTGTTCTGTTCGCGTCAAAATTTGTCTAAAGTTTCAATATCCACAACTAGTTTCTTAACATGTACTCAACCGCAATCTATATCATTTCTGATCCTCTGCACTGCCAGAGGGCAAGAGGATTGTTTTCCAGATCTTTTCCAACAGATCATGAAACAGCTTAGTATTCTTTGAATTATTTCAAGGCTATTTCCTTCATTTAGGTATACATTTACGCAAGCTTTGTACGACAGTACGATGCACTAGAAATACTTTCGGAAAAGTTTGTTCAACTATTTTGTGCACGATTTTGAATGACTTTATAAATACGAGTTAGATTTATTTCACTACAAAGAACCGAAATGTTTTCAGTAGGTCTAACCCGACTCTGTGACCATTCTACTATTTTATAACTATACTGTTTGTTTTTTTCTGAAATCACATACATAACATACGAGTACTAATAAACGTATTATTATCCGATAGTTTTCATTTAAGCGCTTAGGGGCAATGTGCAATATGCGCTATATAAATAATTATAACATTATTATTATTATTATTTATCTAGTTAGGGGCCTGAATTTTGTGTAGGTGAATAAGTTGTTTGGAAGCGAAGTATGGCGGCTTGAAAGTTTGTGAATTTATATAGGCCTACGTTTCTCGTAGAATAGCCTTCATAAAATGACTAAATTTTATGGTTTAGAGTTGAAATATTGAACACAAACTTCAAAAATAGTAAAATTAAAGGTAATACTTTATATTTATGACATAATCACATTTTGCTCAAATTACATGTTATACGGTACTGTCTATTTGGCCCTTTTTCTCGAAACCTGGTGATGCGAGTTTACAGCCGTTTTGTGGTCTTGGGTCGCAAATGTCATTAGGGTCAAAACCCAACAAAATAATCATTGTCTGCTTCTGTCACAAATAACATAGCATATATAAATTATATATAACAATAACAAGAGCACTCAGTAGAGAGCATATCTCCGCTCACTGCAAATCGCTCACTGCAAATCGCTCTCCATAAAATTACTTCTAAACTACCACCTACCACCTTACTAAAAATACACTAACCAGCCAACCGGAAACAGTTTTCATTGTTTAATAGTTGTATACCTGCCAATTCCATGCTTCTTAAAGACAAATGAACATTATACTTTCATAGTTGACAAAAAAGTACATGCCAAGTATTGGTGTTGGTCACCAATATTTAATCATTTCTATATTTGGGTTATACCTGGAACACTCCCTGATATTTTCAATTATGTCTGTGCAGCCGTTTTTGAGATAGGCTAATTCGAACACAACTGAAAAAACATACACAAAACACGAAAATGTGACGCACACACACAAACTTGCACAACTGAAAACATATTGTTTAAACATATAGGCCTATATGCACATAATGCATCAGTACCTGTCTCTTATACACATCTAGATGTGTATAAGAGACAGTGCCAATTCCATGCTTATTAAAGACAAATGAACATTATACTTTCATAGTTGACAAAAAAGTACATGCCAAGTATTGGTGTTGGTCACCAATATTTAATCATTTCTATATTTGGGTTATACCTGGAACACTCCCTGATATTTTCAATTATGTCTGTGCAGCCGTTTTTGAGATAGGCTAATTCGAAAACAACTGAAAAAACATACACAAAACACGAACATGTGACACACACACACAAACTTGCACAACTGAAAACATCTCCTTGCGGAGATAATATTCACCTATTAGATTTTATATGGTAATGTCCCATCTAGCCCGTTTGTTTGTTGTTGTTTTTTTGTTTTTGTTTTTTTGGTTTTTTTTGGGGGGTTTTTTGGGGGTTTTTTTTGAGGAGCCTAAAATACTTATACTGTATTTCGTTTTTGAAAAGACAGCTTTTAACGCTTTAATTAATGAATGTGATATCTTAACGACAGAAATAGGCCCCGTAGGCACTTTGCTGCTAACCAAAATGCATGTGGTAAGTGGTATAGTTGGCAATGAGCATTAAAATTTGGCTCTGCCTTTGAAATAATTTCCAAAAAAGGATTTTTTTTAATTTTAACCATCTTTAAAGAGGTAACCCTTCCAGTTTAGCCCAATAGGTTAACTGATATTCAGGGGGCCCTCTTTAATAAAATTTAAAAACAGTACAAACAACATCATTACAACATAATAATAATAATAATAATAATAATAATAATAATAATAATAATAATAATAATAATAATAATAATAATAATAATAATAATAATAATAATAATAATAACAATAACGTACAATCCTCATAACATGTCTTAAAAGTATTAAATTGACTTACATAAAGACATACCGGTAATTCAAAATAGAAGTTTAATTTATAATGCCTAATATAATATAATATCATATAATATAGTATAATATAGAATAAAATCAAACAATGTAATAATAAGAATATCTCAATAAACAGCAATAAACAACGTCTAAGAGTTTAAAATATATCGTTTTAACCTAAGTTTAAATGTATTTTCTATTTAGCAGTCCCTGAGCTCAATTGGTAAATTATTACAAAAATTAGGACAAAGATAACTAAAT